TTATCAGTTATAATTTCTCTTCTTTTATTTCTGATTTTGAGTCCTCTTTTTTTTTTTTTTTTTTTTGTTTTATCAGTTATAATTTCTCTTCTTTTATTTCTGATTTTGAGTCCTCTTTTTTTTTTTTTTTCTTGATGACTCTAGCTAAAGGTTTGTCAATTTTGTTTATCTTTTCCAAGTACCGGCTGTTAATTTCACTGATGTTTTCTATTGTCTTTTTTCCCCTCTATTTCATTTATTTCTGCACTAATCTTGGCTACTTTCTAACTTATACTAACTTTGGGTTTCATTTCTTCTTTTCTAGTTTTTTTGAGGTGTAAAATTAGGTTGAGATTTTTCTTGATTTTTGATATAGGCATTTGTCACTATGAACTTCCTTCTCAGAACTGATTTTGCTACATCCCATATGTTTTACTATATGGTATTTCCATTTTCCCTTTGTCTCAACATATTTTCTGATTTCTCTTTTGATTTCTCTTTGACCCATCGGTTGCTCAGTAGCATATTGTTTAGTCCCCACGTATTTGTGAATTTTCAGTTTCATTCTGGTAATTGCTTTCTGGTCATACCATTATAGTTGGAAATGATGCTTGGTAGGACTTCAGTTTTCTTAAATTTATGAAGACTATTTCATGGTCTCTCTATGATCTATCTTGGAGAATGTTTTCATGTGAATGCCTCTTTTGATTACAGTTTTGTGACACCTCTGTTTCCCTCTTTCTGGCAGTCATTTTCCAGAATTGACAAGAGAACCATCGTCAGATGATTTTTGGTAAGTGGATACTAGCACTTTTTGATGCTTTAGCGGGAAGGAACTATTCTGTATTACATTTTTATCTGAATATTTTGTAAATAAAATTTCATATTTGTTATCCCAAGAGAAAACCAAATTAAAATTTTAAACATGAATATGGTCTTAAACGTGTAGTAGAACTACAAGAATTTAACAAAAAATAGCAAGTCCTTAGTTTAGTACTTCCCACTCACTTCCCACTTCTTAGCATAATGTCTTCAAAGTTGTAACATACATATTGTAGCATATATCAGGATTTTATTCTCATTAAAGGCTGAATAACATTTCATTGTGCATACCACACTTTGCATATCCATTCATCTGGTGATGGGAATTTGGACTTTTTTTTTTACCTTTTCTAGTGTGATTAATGCTGTTATGAACGTTGGTATATAAGGATCTGGTTCTCCGCTTTCAGTTCTTATGGGTATACACCTAGAAGTGGGATTGGTGGGTTGTATGGTAATTCTATGTTTAAATTTTGAGGGACCACCAAACTGTTTTCCATAGCAGTTGTACCATTTACATTTCTGTCAGTAGCACACAGTTTTCCCATATCCTCATGACACTCGTTAATTTCTGTTTCTTTACTATATATAAAAGCCATCCCAGTGGGTGTGAAGTGGTATCTCATTTTGGTTTTGATTTGCATTTCTCTTAGGATTAGTGGTGATGTGTGCTCATATTTTTAGATTTATATACTAACAAAGCTGATTGATAGGGCTGTGTGTGTAGGGGAGGTGGTGTAGTTGATGACGGACTGGCTTCCCTATGCAATCATTAGTCAGGACCTACTGTTTTATTAGAGGGTCCCTGGATGTCATCATCTGTCTTTCTTGTGAACTGCTCAGTTTTCTTCTCATGAGAAGAACTCTCCAGGCTGTAAATTTGGCTGCATATGTTATGGGAGCTGAGTGGAGGCAGAGGGCTAGTGATCATACTTATCTGAGTGTAAAGGATTTCACTTAAAACTCCTATCTTGGGAGAATTCCCTACCCCATACCTACTCGTATGCCCAGCGTGGCTGGGTCCACGGTTACTCTGGTTTAACGTCTCTAAATGATAAACCTTCCATGGCTTGCTGGGTGCAAAATGTTCAGTTACCTGGCTGCAAGGGATGAAGTAGGGTTCCTGCAGGCTGACTCTTCCTCCCTTGGACCTGGAGCCCCTCCTGCTTCCCACGTTCTCTTAATTGGACAGCTGCCATTTCCTCAACATTCCCAAGGTTCTGCTGGGGGCATCAGCTTGAGTTCTAGGTGCTTCCTCTTATAAGCTACTGGTTTCTGCTGTACTAAAACTCTGATATCCAGAGTTCAGACTGACATCACCTTGACTATGGCCACTTCTTCCACTGTCTTTGTCCTGAAGAAGGAGATTCAGGAGGAAGTGGGGATACAGGAATATACTTAACCATTCACATTTTCTTCAGTGTGCTAGCACAGAGCCATCATAGCAAGCTTCCTTCCTCACAATTATTTGCCTCCTTCTCTCTCCTGCATATGAGCTCTGGCCGTAAATGATTGCACAGATGCAATGCAGTCATTCCTCTTATTTTACTTGCTTTGAGCAGATACTCCAAAGTTTTTCCTGGTAGAAGTTGAACAGACCAGCCAAAGTGACAAAGTGTTGACCCCTGCCTGTTTCTTCTTTGTAACTATGTTGTTGTTTAACACAACTTATAAAATATTTTGCTTATAGTAGGGCTAATTTTTTCTGTCTCAAGGCTTGAAATAATATATAGTATTCCAAATCTTTAGAAGTTGAATCTAAATCTATAGGTTTTTAGGTGTAGATCTTCTTGAAGACAGATTCTTACTAGATTTGGGCTAATTTTAAAGGAACTTCTGAACTGATTAAGTATTTTCTGGTGTCTCTCACAGCCGGATACCTCCTCCCCCTAGTGACTCATGCGACTTTGATGACCCCAGGCTCTTGAAGAACATTGAAGATCATCACGTAAGGCCACCGTTTTGCTTCTTGGACATTACATAGCTTATGGTGCCCTTCTATTTATGTGTATGTATAGTGTCTTGAAATTTGCCATTTTGGACCTTGGGGAAGAGATGCAGTTTTACTTTTCTGGTGTTAGTATTCAAAGAAGTGATCTTAAATAAATGCTATGAGGTTATCACTCTGCATAAGTTAATGAAGCCTGGATTAAATATGTGGTGAAGATAGAAAGTCGCACAGCAAGATTACGATGAGTCTTACCATGGAATTCTCTAACATTGTGGATTTCTTTTGCTTTTTAAGATTTCTGCAGTACTATATCTTCACAGTTGTGAATCTAAGTGGTCATGCATTTTGAAAAGCAATCTCAGTATGCTTGGACCAGGATAATTTAGGGAAGAAAAGTAAGGCAAAACAACATGTAGCATCCTACTGTGTGCCGAACATTTGCTGTGTATTTCCCCTAGCACTTGAGTCACCCCAGAGAAGTGATAGGAAGCTGCATGGCAATATTGAGTTGGCCAAGAGTTACCAGCAAACAAATCTAGTAATGAGACTCAGAACCTTAGTCTGTTGGATTCTTAACTATGACATCACATTATCTCGACTATTCCAACAAACCAGGATTAACTATAGGATCTCCTAAATTTGTTTCAAAAGCTACTTTGAAAATCCCAACTTAGAAAAGTAATGATCAAAACATTTTGTAACCAGTTTAATCAGTAGAGATTAGATCTGATATTTTTTTTTTCTGAAAAAAGTTTTAAAGTGAAGTACACATGAGCAAAATTAAAACTTCATCATTTCAAAGTTTTGTTAAGGTACAAATATATTTAATATTCCTCTTAATTCTCAGTGAGGAAATTTCCTTTTCTCCACTGCACTTGCCCATTTGTTGATGCTAGAACCTTCCCAGCCATGGTTCTCAAATGTGAGTGTGTAAGGCACCCACGTCCACATGCTGGGGGGCAGACGTTCTGCTTCAGCCTCCCGTGATGCTCCTGCAGTGGTCCCAGACCACACAGTGGGTGTTGCTGAAGTCCATGCTCTGTGTCACACTCACAGGCATGGATGTGGTCTCTTTCTTTGAATTTTAATGTTAGAGGTAGGTCCAGCTACTAGACCAGAGGTTCTCTAAGCGGAAGAGTGGCATCTCAGAGGAAACTTCTGTGGAGGTGGGTAGATTTAATCAAGGATTTCAGAGGACACATGGGCCTGTGAGGACTTGCTTTCTGAAAAAGGATTCAGGTACTCTCAAATAGTACTCAGAGAGTGCTTAAGTAGCCTAAATGTATCCATTCAGTTTTGGGGGGAGTGAATGGGAAAGGAGGTAGAAGGCTGTCCTAGAGGTCTAGGAAATTGCTGTTAGTCTCCTTTCATGAAGTTTGTTTTCCTGGCCCAGATCAGTAGGTGAGAAAGGAGCAGAGGAAGTGAGGTGAGCCTAGTGCATGGAGTACCTCGGCATCCCAGGGTAGGCTCAGGAACAGCAGCACATGAGTGTTTAAATAAGAGACTCATTTGTCTATTCATTCATCTTGGTAGTTTATATCAGTCACCTTGGTAGGAAGTAGGGGGAAAGAGATGAATAAAAAACACTCAAAGGTTTTAATTGGGGAAACAGATATAAAATCACTAGGAGCCATTGTATACCTTTGATCCTAGGGATAGGTGTGGTACCGCTCCCTGAGAAAATGACTGTTTTCTGTAAAGGAGTCTGATCTCTTTGGTGGGTGTTAGGGCTAATGTAATTGTTGCAATGTGGGCACTGTGGGCACCCATACTAAATGGTATTTGCCTTCACCTAAAATATGGAGTAGCACAGAAAACTAGTGGACAGAGGGCAAATCTCATTTGGAGAAGAGGTCATTGGGAGACATACTCTATTTGCTGCTGGGATCCCATTTTTGGAATCTTGAAATACTGAGTTCAATTGATTTTATATATATATATATATATATATATATATATATATATATACAAGATGTGTGTGCTGGGTTTTTGACTGCTGACCACATGCTCTTCTGGAGCCTGTCCTCTCTTGATCTTTGAGTGGAGATATGAGCTTAGAATTCCTCTAATTCCTCTAATAGGATTCCTGTAATGAACATTTCTTGCCCCATGGCCAATGGCAGGCATTTTTGGAAGGAACCCTGCTCTTACAGAAGTTAGTGAGCTCCCTTTTTCTTCCTTTTCCTCCTCACTTTCTACCCTCCTGAGCCAAATTTCCTTTTATTGCAGGGGGAAGGCCATTGAGAGTAGGGGCAGTTGCAGCCCTTATGAAAAGGAAGCCCTGACTTAGGTTATCATAAGCATCAATGAAAACATAAAGACTTTAAAGGCTATTTTAATAATCTGGACACTCATAGGTCATTAAATGCATAATGGGGCCATGGATTAGAGAATTTATTTTCTAATTTTTTAGTAAAAGCCTACTTGCCTAAGTTTAATATTTTTTAAAGCTACATTAAAAGCCTTCTGAAGTGTTCTTCATCTTGGCTACTGCATGAATTATCCCATTGACATTTAACTTCTAGCTCGATTATAAACAACGAAGACCACAGGTTCTAATATTTTTCTTTCAGAAAATGTGAGATTGGGTTAAATGTACCTAATGCACCTTAAATACAGAGCTTGTTAGGTAACTTGGTTATTTTACCAAAATATGGTTGAGGAAAGGGAAGAAGCATTTCAGGATTTTAGCCTATGGATATCCCACATTCTTATCTAAATTGTCTTGGGATCATTGACTAAAATTAAAGCATTTGGACCAAGAAAACCTTTACTTTCCTCCCAAGAGAGTACTTCCATCTGCTACAGAATTTTTGTTTTTCCTGGGTCATCATTTTGATTTTCTGGGTCCCCTACGACTATGTTTCTAGCTTTGTGTCACTGATAGCCAAGACAGAATTTGCTTATTAAAGAATCAACCTATGGAAAATTCAATTTTAAACACAGAGCAGTTGTTTAAAATAGATTACAATTGCCTTCTTAGCGCAGTAGGCAGCGTGTCAGTCTCATAAAATAGATTACAAACATCTTATCCATAAGCTGAAAATGGAGATTGTCTCCTTTCTCTAGTTTATTACAGAATGTCAGGTTAACTAGAGAATAAAGTTAGAACGGTTTTATCTTAGGGATTTTTTTTTTTTAATCTCTAGGAATGTTGTCTGGCCTACCACTCAAAGTGGAAACTTAATTTGCGAGTGTGTGCAACTCTCTTTATAGCTCTCAGAAATATTTTCTCTTTGGTCTGAAATCAAAGACCCGCTTTCATGTTTCACTGTGGGATGAGGTGATGTGTAGGACTTCATAGTTCACAGATGCAGGAGAAAGCAATCTCTTTTTTTTCTTCCCATATGCTACATTTTTATATATGTGTTTCTATTTCATTGAATTGTCTGTGGAACTGGTTATTGTCGATCACCGTTTCCCATCAGAGAGAGAGAGAATAATAATCCCAGGTCAATGAATTACCAATGTAAGTCCCATTATGGATGTCAGAGTTGTATTTGGGAGCCTTTCAATATTTCCTTCAACTCCTACCGCTGAGGCCTGTACTGCCAAAGACCAGGCCCAAGACTTAATTGTAAAACTGGCCAAACTTCTTAGAAGGGCTGTATTGGCAGCCTCACAAAATCATCTGCACCAAAGTCTAGTAGGGAGGAGACCCTGGGACTAGGGTTGGGGTCTCCTGGGTAGATGTACCTGAGAACCTGAGACTCCCAGATTCCTCTGGAACTTGTGGGCCTGCAGAAGATGGTGGCTTGTGTCCATGACCAGGTCTCAGCTAAAGCAGATGTCTTGCCAGAAACTGCTTACCCTCCTCAGGGTCTGTCCCCATCTCCCACCTTAGCCACTAGATCAAGCCTGGGGGCACATTTCAGCATGGCAGACAGGGGCGAGGATGGCCCTGCCAGTTTGGAAGAGGGATTATTCACTGAAAGGGCTGCAGGGCCTGGTGATCCACATCAGTGAGGACTGGGAGAGAGTGCCTGAGAATGGGACGTGACAGAAAGCGGCACAAGGGAGAGGATGTTGGAATGCGGGACTCTTCTGTTGTTGGCAACCAACAGAAGGTCCTGTTTTGGAGAGCCGGTTTTCTAAGCTGCTGTGATGACTCTCAGAAACTTTGAAGGAGTGGTGGCCTCTACATAAAAAGAAATTTATTTTCACTGCAGAAAACAGAGTATAAAGAGAAATATTTTTTTAATCCCCTAAATCCCTTTTTGTCCTTTGCTGCAAATTACTGTTAACATTTCAACCTCTTCCTTTCCATACATGGGGACACCGCAGATATTGAGATCATACTGTATGTAATTTTTTTTATCCTGCCTTCTCAAGAAATTAACATTATGTTCTAAGTATATCCCCCAAGCACTAATAACTAATTTTCCTAGAGACAGTCACTTTCAGCAAAAGATTCCACTACCTGACATCACCGTGGTTGATTTCCAGCCTGTTGGACGAGGTGTGGTTAGATGGCTTGGGAACTTGGTTCTGGCCATGGTGCTGGTCAGGGGTGTGGAGCCTGACACGGTTTTGGCCAGTGAGATATGAGGAGAGGTTTGCAGGTGGGGAAGGCAATCTGGAATCGAAGTCCAGTTGTCACAGTGCTTTTGGGGAAAATTTCTTAGCATTTTTGTAGTGTAGACCTTGGGGAACTTGAAAATCCCCTAACTTTTTGACTTCACTGAACTATAATTGTGCATGTCCTTTTCCCAAAGGCTGATTAGAAGTAGACATGTGAACCGTTGTGATTTGCTTCCATACAGCTGCTCTTAAATCACATTAACAGGTCAGAGAATAAACTATGAATGTTTTTAAAATACTTGTCACTGTCCATTTGTGACTAAAAAACCCAGGCAAAAACTCTGCAAAAATTAGAAAACACAGAATTACTTCCTGAATGTGCAAATACAAATCTCTCTAGAATGCATAGCCAGCTGCCTATCAAACAGTGACAAATTAAAGACCTCGGTGTTAAAATAACCCAAGGACAAGGAGGCCTGGTGTCACCCCTGGCTTTGAACATCCTCCCGAAGTGCTAGCTCGAGTGGGCAAGTGAGAACTCAAGTGTATGTGTTAGAAAAGGAAAGAAAACATCATCATCTGTGGGTGATAAAATAATTGTCTGCCTTAAAACCCAGGAGAGTCCCCTGAAACTTGGGGGCCAGCAAGAGGGTAATTACACTTGGACGTGAAATTCATTTATCAAATTCAGTGTTTTTACTTACATCTGAATGGACACTTGTGAAACATAATAGAATTAAGATTCTATTCATGATATAAAAAGCAATAGATAAAATGCCTAGTGCAGTGCCTCATGTATGGTAGGCATGGAGATACTTTTTGAATGAATAAAAGATAAGAAGATAGTGTGCCGGCACCTACATTTAGACGCATTAAAAGCCTTTAATAAATAGGCATTCTGCATTCTTAGATTGGCAAACAGCATTAAGACGTCCTAGTCTAATCCCAATGAAAATTATAAAAAGAGTGTGTGTGGGGTGGGAGAAATATATTAAATACATATCCAGGATGGTTATTTTTATTTTTTAAGGAATAGGCATGGGTTGCACTACCTTACAGGGTTTAAGCAAGGACTAAGGTAAAGAGCAGACATGGTGTAGAGTAGTGAGTGCTAGGACAATGGAAGAGAAAGAACAAGGACTCACCTGTTTGGTTGATCCAACATAGAGTCCAGTGCCTTCTGTCTGCAGGGCCCGGGGTTACAGTGGTGAGGAAGGCAGATGACCTGCTAGCGCTCCCGGGTCTCACAGATGTGGGAGGAAGCCTGTGAGCGCAGGAGTGCTTGAAGTGTTGCAACAAGCGTGTGTTGGGAGAACCCTGGGGGAAGGGCGCACACCTTGTTCTCGCCTGACCCCAGGCATAGCATGTCAAGAAGGATGTTCCAAAAGCAGAGTGATAGTGGACTTCAGATGAAGCAACTGTTGAATTGCAGCCTGGAGGATGAGTAAGAACCGGCTGCAGGCGGGTGGAGCGTGGTGCTAGAGCACCGGGACAGCCGCCTGTTGGAGGAGCTGCAGACCAGAGCAGTGGGTGGAGCTTGCGGGATGGAAGTGGGAGTAGCCGCCAGATCCTGGGGAGCACAGAGCCCAGGCTGGGGTCTCCACCTTTGTTCTAGAGTGGGTGGGAAGCCGGCACAGGGTTCTAAGCCGAGGATGGCTGAATCTAACTGCGATGGTTTAACTCATGATCTTGCCCGTGTGTCTATAGCCCACAGCTCCGTGCATACAGGAGTTCCTCACGCTCCTGGCTGTGTGCCACACTGTGGTCCCTGAGAAGGATGGAGATAACATCATCTACCAGGCCTCCTCCCCAGGTGAGGGCCCCAGGCTGGGTGTGCCCCATTGTCCCCTTCTCTGGAGACTTGGGTGTTTGCAGGTACTTGTCGGGTGGGGGGTAGTAGTGGGGCAGCGTGCCCTGCAAGGACCCCACGGTTTGCCTCTGGCCTCGTGTGGTTTACAGGTTATATGGTGACAAGTGATAAAGCCACAGAAAGGTCGTGCTGAGCCCTCCTGACTCTGTAACACTGTGACAGCAAGATGAGACCCCTGGCCTTCTTGCATGTCGTAGCTGACGACCCTGCACGAGACAAAACTCGTGGGGGAGGGAGCGCTGCTTCTCTCTTCACCGTCCACCCCGCGTAGATCTTCCAGCTGCTGGTGGAACTAAGCTGGGTGCTAACTCTTAACCCACTTCCTGGAGCTCGGAGTCCCCCTGGACTAGAACTGAAACACTGCCTCACTCAGAGAAGATATTTAGTCAGAAAGCCATGGGAATGTTGCTTAAGTTCCTTAGGGAGAACTTGACCCCCACCGAGAATAGTAGGTATGCCATCACTCCTGTCTTGATGACTTCGTTTTGGCTCCTGTCTTCTGACCTAACAGAAGTGCTGCCCCTCAGGACCCTGGTGCTGGGAGTGAGTGAGTGCCTCCTATATCCTTAACCGAGCATGGAGGCCAGGCCTCTCCAACTGCTGTGGGTTTGGTTAACTCGAAAAATAACACGGGCTCGGCAGAAGTCTACCATTACGTGTGATGAGTCATTGCCTCATCAACTCTCTTGACAGATGAAGCTGCGTTGGTGAAGGGAGCTAGGAAGCTGGGCTTTGTCTTCACGGCCAGAACGCCATACTCGGTCATCATAGAAGCAGTGAGTGACAAGCCTGGGCATTTCTTCCCCTTGTGCATCACCAACATTTTTGAAGACTCTGTGTTTGAAATAACATGTCTGATGGAAACAGGATAGCTACATTCCTTTTTTTTTTTTTTTTTTTCCTGTGAGAAACTAGATCCATGGCGAAGCTGCTGGTATCATGTGATTCTCTCAGCTTATTCTCGTTGTGTTTGTGTTGCAGGTGTTTTTCTCTCTTGGAGATGCTTCTCCATAAGTCTTTCATATGCTGGTGTGGTTTGTAGTACAGAAGCAAGCAAGCCTGCTCTTTGTTCTGCAGTGGTCAGGGGACTAGCCACATGGGCCACGGGTCTGGAAGGCAGGATCTGTGGCTCTGTCTTTGCGGCTTTGGTACCCAGAGTATTTGCACAGCAGAGCCCTCCGTGCGCTAGCTTCCGTCTCCCCATCTGGGGGAGAAGTGAGTTGGCACTGAAGATCTTTGGCATCTGTAGGAGTTTTTTCTTTTCCCTAGGTCCAAGGGTTTATTTATTTTATGATTGATTTTTGAGTTTCCCTGCTCAGGAAGCCTGAGTGAGAAATTTGGTGATAGGAAAAAAAAGATGTAAATCAAGAATAACATCCAATAAGGACCCTTGAGGTGGGCAATGGGGGAAATTGCTGGTTAGGAGGGGCAAGGTGCTGGCATGTTTAATGCTGACCAGTTAGAGGGGCTGCGTTTTGCTACAGGATGGGTTGATGAGGGCCTGGAGGCAGTTACTGCCATCCTCCCCAGCCCTCCATTTGGGACAGATTCATGGATTAGAACAGTTTTTGCCTTCATGCATCCTTCTATCCCTAGGCCTTGTTAATGCATTTGAAATTCACTTCTAATTTACATAATACATTGTTATTCCTACCTTAGCGGCAGTACATTTTTCTTGTACTTATATGCAGTACCTAGAAAATTCACCTACAGTGTGCCCATTTCTTGGAGCTTTCAGGTTCTTCTGGAGTGCAGAGGTCAAATCATAATTATTTTTATTTTAAAGTAGAACAGAGTAACTGATGGGGTATTGAATTTACTTCATAGAAGCTTCTCATAAGTGAAGTCTTTACCCCCTTCGGTTTAAGGAGACTTGACATATGCTATAGGATTTTCTGTCATATGGGTACTGCTCTTTTCTCTGCATTGCAGTGACAGGGACTGGGAGTAGCTGTGGACTGATAGGACACAAGTGGGAGAGATGAGAAGAGCATGGCTGCTTTTGCTTTGCTCACAGTACTGGATAAATATGGAGATCTAGAGAGAGCCCCCTGGCATTGTCATCATGGCGGTAGATGCTGACCAAAAGTGGATCGACACCTCTTCATCTTTTTATTAACCTCTTAAGGCCATGTTTCTGGGAGTAAATAAGACTACCTGGTTCATAAGGGTCACAATAATAACTACAAAATCCTGTTTAACCGTAAATACCAGAGTATCCTCAAACCCGCATTCTTGAGGTGGTTACCAGCTTTTTACATGTGGTGGCCCTACTGGTCATCTTAACAGTGAGTCTGTGGGCTACACATGTTTGCACAGCGGTTGATGGGATAGCAAAGAGGGGTTGGCTCCTGGCAGTCACAGCACTTGTGCCATTGGGCACATTTCTGAATGGGCGTCTCACCAAGTTGGGACAAGCTGAGCAGAAAGAACTGGTGGTTGCAGGAGGAGGGGAATAAAGGCCAATGAAGGCTGGATGATGTGGGTCGCTGGTTGTATTTCAGGGTGTGTGGAGAAGGGGTAGGGAGTTGTGGTCAGGGCAGTAATGATGGATCGGTGCTGCTGTGTGTCAGTCGTGCACTTGGTAATTTGCGTGTTGCTTCATTCATTGCTTCTCTCAAACCTAGGGGACAGATGCTACCACCATTCCTAAGGAAGCCACACACTTAGTGGCAAAGGATTCAAATTCATAAGGAACTCCAAGGCCCACATTCTTTCCACTGTGATGTAGTAGGGAAATAGAGAGCAGGTTTGATCAAGGAGTTTGAAAGTGGTACACACATAGTCTAGAATCTTCTGGAAAAAATTGAGAATATTGAGGTTCCAACTCTGAAGAACAATAACATTTGATTAATTGCCCTAGAGTCTTAGGCACATCCATAATCCTTATTTCTAAATCTAAAATTCAAAATCCAAGAAACTTTGAATTCTAAAAGTTTCTCCCCCATATTTGGGGACTTAGGTATTTGGCAGCAAAATGTAACCAGAACTGACATGAGGTCATTTGTGGTCTTAAGAATCTCAGTGTGAATAGTCTTACATTTTGCTGTAGAAAATTGATGAGTTGGATTACAGGGTGTTGCCCCAGAACTCCGTGGGGAAATTATGGCACATGGTGTATGCATACATTTTTATATAGAATTGTAAAATTCTGAATTCAGAAGCATGACCTGCCCCAGGGTTTTAGGCTGACCTGTGTAGCTTGTGTCCTATGTTTTCGCCTGTTGGAAGGGACTGTGTCAGCCTGCTGTTTGACAGCCTGGAGAAGAGTGAGAAGCTTCTACCAGAAGGGGGAGCTATTACCCCGCAGGACTGGCTTGTGGGGAAACCTTAGCTGTTGGAAAGGCCTTTTGCAGGAGGATGGGAAGAGAAAATGAGCTGGAGAGGAGGGAGGGCGGGAGAGGGAATATGTGTATGTACATGTATGTATTATACAGAGAGAGAGAGAGAGAGAAAGTCCTGGAGGGACCGGGAGATGTATGTACAGAGAGGTTTGTGATTGGGGATATTGTCGTTTTGAGATTTTAATACTTTGCACCTCAGGTAAGAGCCTGCTTTTCTTCTTTTAGATGGGACAGGAACAGACATTTGGAATCCTTAACGTCCTGGAATTTTCTAGGTATGTTTCTCTTTCATGCACTTGAAATAAAATTTCCATATATATTTAACAACGTCATCATGGTGTTTACAAGATTGTATAACATGGTTAAATACAGTACCTAAGTATTAAATTTATTAAATATATCTCCACAAGCCCTCTCTTCTCTGGAACTTGTGACTTTCATTAAAGAAAGTGAAGTAGATCATTTTTCTTTTTTTTTTTTTTTTTTCCAAATGAAACCTTATGCTTCCATATCCTCCTCTTTAGATTTCCAGACCTGCTGTTCTGGCATCGGCAGCTGCAGACATGTCTGCATAGTTTGGAGTATGTGACAGGGGCCCTATTTCTGTTGGTCTTTCCCACGTCCCATGAGGTCCTGCCTGGTGCTCCCTCTGAGTGCTCTCATGCCCACCCTGGGAAACTGATGAGCGGCGGCTGATAAGATCGGTCCATCCCATCAGAGACTTTGTCCGTATTGGGCAGTTCTCCTGTATATATTCTAGCTCATTCTTCCCCAGTGTGGTTTATTTAATTTAAGACCCAGGAATATTTGTTGGATAATTGGCTTCCCTTGTCATTAAAAAAAAATCTTAATGATTTATTTCTTTTCTTAACATTGAACTCAGTGTTAGTACTAGAGCAAGGTTCTGTTGCTACCTCAAAATTATGTTTTCCCATTAGTAAAAGTGGGGTTTTTCAATAACCTTTGTTAAACGATTCCCACATTTCCTCTGTCGGCTTTAAAGCTGTTTGAAAAAGATCAATTTTTAACCCTCTTGAGGGAAATGCTTTCTAGCTCTAGTCTTTGGTTTTAGGACTGCAGACTTGAGCTTTGGGGGGTCAAGAGCCCTTGAGGATGGGCTTTTAGAGGGAAAGAAGGATGGTTGATAACAGTAGTGGTTCATATAGGGGAGTAGGGGCAGTGTCCCTGTTTGTGGAGGTAAGGAACACACTAAACGTTGCTTCAGACTTTTGTGCCCCATCTCTTGTGGATGTCCTGGAGACTATGTTATTATGTGACTGTGGTAACTGGGACCAGCAGTTATTACCGGGACAAGGAGGAGGAAAGGGAATTGGGTTAAAACAGGTGACTATGGATAGAGACATGAGGATGTAGTAAAAACTTTCTGGGGGAGTACTACGGAGTTAAAAGGTTGTTTGTAGTTACAGCTGTGGTTCTATTTCATTTTAGTTGACTCCTCTCTTTCCAGATGCCACCGAATCCTAACAATACTCCTTTGCAGTACTTGGTGGTGGCCTTGCTTTATACATTTAGAAACTGAGATGCTGGGTTAACAACTTTGCTGAGAGAGAATTCAGACCTAGGTCAGACAGAGTGCTGTTGGTTAGGATGTGGGAATTTACACAAAGCTGGGAGAGAATATCCTTCAGTCCTAGGAGCTAAGAGTCCATTGGGAATCCTCTTATAGGGGTGGGCAGTCAGGGGCCCACTGTGGTTGGGATGTGTTTTAGGAGGACGAAATGTCTGCAAAAGGCATGAGACAGAAGGTGTAGAGAAAGAGCATGCTGTGTCTTCTGGTGTGTGGGAGGCCTGCAAGTGCATGGGAGGGCTCGTGGGGGATGAGGCCTGGCTGCAGAGGTGTGTGGAGGTCAGTAAAAACTGGAATCTGTAGGCAGCGGGGAGCCATTGAAGGTTCCATGAGTGAGCATGGGTCGTTATGAAAGAAGAGCGCAGAAGTGTCCATGGTGGAGAGGGGAGGGCAGTAATAAGGCACACTTCAGTGCTGAGTCAGGAGCGTTCTATGAATTTCTCATTTTTTTCTACTCCAGTTAACAGAAGACACAAGGGGCTTTTGGACTAAGTGGATTTATAGTGAAGCTTCCCCTCTGCTCCTTACTGGGTGGATTACTAAAATTTTGAGCTGTAAAATAACACTTTTAGAGTATTATCAGGAGTGAGTTAAATGTGCATAATAGAGGGTCAAATAGTCCATTTCTGCTCTCCTGCTATTAATAGCTATGCCAGGGAGTTTCCATGGGAGGGAAAAATAGGCTTATGTCCATTCTATATAAATAAAAAGAGTAGGCGATATCCAATTAAAGCCCAACTCTGAAAGAAAAGGTGAGGAAAATGGAGCTTTGCCATTTTTAGGGCTCTCAGATCATCTTTTGATTTGTTGGGTGCTTAATTATAGGGCATGTGTCCTATCATACAGACCAATGTTGACTGACTGTCCCTCTCTTTTCTTACCCCCACAGTGACAGAAAAAGAATGTCTGTGATTGTTCGGACTCCTTCAGGCCAACTTCGGCTCTACTGTAAGGGGGCTGTAAGTACTGGCTAAGTACTGGTGGGGCCGGGCGCCGTTGGCAGCTCTGTTGTTCCGCTGGCTGTTGTCCAGCTGTTGAGAGTTTACCCAAGGTCGAAGGGCTCTTTCAGATTGACCTTAAAATTGACCTGGTAGTAAAAGTCCGCTGAAGATCGTGGTGGTTCAGGCCAGCGTGGCAGTGGCGGCCTACGGAAAGCTTGCTTTTAGCCAGCTGTTGGTTTCAGAAACAGCAGTTTGCTGTGTCATGCGGAATCCTTGCAGCGTGACTTCTGAGTCTCGTTTATCGCTAGTGGGTTCTGACTTTGGGAAGATAGAATGATTCACATGGACCCGTGATAATCTTTTCAGTACCCTGAGATGGTGCGTGTGCACGTGTGTGTGCACGTGTTCACTAGCAGCTTTTCTTAGTTGTTGTGGTTTGTCATCACAGAGAGCTTTTCTGAGCTGTGTTCCTCGGTGTGTCTTAGCTGAACTGGGTTCAGTGCCTCGTGGGCTGTGCACCCCCTGGCCAGGGGCTCCTGCAGGGTCAGGAGGCAAGAGTGTATCTGAGCAATTTAGGATGTGTCTGTTACCCTTTCCGCTTCTGCGTAAAGGTGTTATAAATGTGGGCATGTATTTTGCAAATTTGGGTAAATGTAGGCACCATTGTGTCCCTGGTAATTCTCTTGACACTTCTGGTTCTCCCCAAAAAGTGTTTATTTGGACACATTCATACCTGATTCGTTTTCCTAAGCTCATGACTGATTCTGGCCAACACTATTTCTGCTTGTCCACTCAAGTATTCTCATACACACTGGATAAGCACCATTAAAACAAAGCTAGGTTTAGAATGCAGACTGGAAGGTTTATTTAAGGGATAGCTAGTGACAGTGTTTCTCTATTTTAAAGGATAATGTCATTTTTGAGAGACTCTCAAAAGATTCAAAATACATGGAGGAAACACTGTGCCATCTGGAATATTTTGCCACGGAAGGTAAGTGAAATTTGGAAATGTTTTTAACCGTCGAAGTTGTATTTTCACGTGTTTGTGGCTGATGCTTTGGGGGAGCAGTCGTGTTCTGAATGGACATGTGTGTTTTGTGCAGCCCTTGGCTTCCTCATAGGATATACTTTCCTAATGCCACCCCCAACGCCCCTCCCACTGTGTTCTGTGCCTATGACAGTGACAGGATGTGTGCCAGAGTCCACACTCAGCTGACTCCTCACCAGGAGTATGGACGGAACAGGCAGGCCAGCTCACGACCCATACCATCATTTTGCAGTTATTGTTCCCCTTCTAAGGAAACTCATGAGGTTATTTCCCCTGTCCTTCTTTTGTTATTCCTATGACACTGGCTTACCATGACTTGAGGAAACAATAATTCGTGGAGCCCACAGAGACTAAGAAAGGAGTTCTCTGAAAGGCCTCAAATAACACTGATGTCAGGGTTTCCAGAAAGGGGACGTGATGAAAGCTGGAGCCTGGCCGGACTGCCGACTGCCGCTTTTTCCCCTTCCTGCGTCCCTAGGGCCATGTGTGCGTGTGTGTGTGTGTGCGCGCGCGCACATGTGTGCCTGCTGGAAAGCCCGGGTCGTCCACATGATGGCCCACTGGGCTTTTGTTGCCATCTTGAAATGTACCCAGTGCCCCCTCTACTTGCTGATGCTTGTCCCCTACACATGTGCATGGGGGCCAATCCCAGCTCCTGTGCTTCTCTCTGTGGGGAGTTCACTCTGTGGCTTCCAAGTACTCTCAGATTTATACACACAGTGGTTTACAGCAAAATGTGCTGGAGTTGTTCTCCAGTGCCCTTTTTAGATGCGTGAAAGTTGACCTAAAAAGCAGACAGTTTCTTTAATTTTTTTTGAGCATGCTGGTTGAAAATGGACCACATGATGTCACCTGGGAGGGAGGGTATCCTGCTTGCTTGGGTCTCTGGATACACTGGGGCTGTTTTGCAGGCTTGAGGACTCTGTGTGTGGCTTATGCCGACCTCTCTGAGCATGAGTATGAGGAGTGGCTGAAAGTCTATCAAGAAGCCAGCACGATACTGAAAGACCGAGCTCAGCGGTTGGAAGAGTGCTACGAGATCATAGAGAAGGTAATTACCTGTGAGGCAGCTGTTGCATGCCCAATGAGGGGCTCCACCGAGCAGAGAACAGAGTCTTTGGACAGGAACCGTTTCGCTCTATAGCCATGTTCCCTCTTCCTGTATGAATCTTAACCATTAGCTTTTAACGAGGTCTTATTTTGCTTATGAAACACTTAGTTTTTATGGGCTACCTGGAAGGTGGAACCACCTTTAGCTAAAGCGTTAATAGTATCTTAAGAAGTATCAGGTCAAAGACAGTGTCAGTGACTCTCAGGGTTGACCTAAGATTAGACTTAATGGGATCGCTCACCTTACTGAGTTACAGAATTCATTATGTGCAGGCTGGTAGGACTTTGTTCATTCTAAGCATTTTCATACTTTTTCTAATAGTAGCTACCTTTGCCGTTGCTACTCCGTCTTGCCCACTCTGACTTTTGTTGCTGTGCCGGGCCTTTGCAGTTTATCCCAAAGCATTATGTAGGTTTCTAGGTATTGAATTCCCTCAAATCTGGCAGCTGGATTTCACCTTTTTTCTGGTTCATGTCTGCAACCATTGGCCCATTCTTTTTTTGGTTTCTAGAAATCTGAAATCATTAGCTTTTCTCATTCTTTGTGTGTGTGTTTTTTAAAAATTACTCTTGACTTTTATTAATATTCCTTTGTTGTTTGGGTTTTATATTTACTTGTCACTTTAATGGAATTTGATTGGAGTAGAACGGAATTCAAGTGTTTATTTGCTCTGCTTTACTAGAAATAAGCAAAATTACTTTTAGAATCAGAAAATGATTGCATAGATGATGGGCCTATGTGGCACCAAGCAGTGGTAGTTCTGTTTTCCCACAGTTGGGTAATCAAGCTATGGCGCCCTATCCTCAGGGGGCTTCGGGGGGGCCTCGGGGGAGGTAGGTGCTATGTGCAGGGGCTCTGGAATCTGCCGGGCCAGCAGGCAAGGTACGGGCTGCTGAGGGCCCTCCACCTCCCCATGCATCCATACCCATCCTCACTGTGAGCTGGGCTCTGTGGGCCTGGAAGAAGTTTAATAGGGGCAACATTTGATAGTTCCTCAATCTTAAGATACTTCGATATTCTCATCTCTGGCTGTTGAAATGTTAGCATCAGCTGTCCCTTAGTCTTGTGTCGTCAGATGAGTGTTATCATCTAGAATCAGTTTTTCTCCCGTGTTAACCATAACATAATATGTGTGTTACCTGTCGGTGGGGTGAGAGGAGAAGGCTCACCTCCTGTGAATATCTTCAGGTTAACTTGCCCATATGCTTTTACTGCTAGGTGACTTCTACTCTAACATGCCCATGGCCCAAGAAATAAATAATGAATGCTGGGTTGCCTATGTGTTTCAGGTGGTTCTAATATTGCAGATAGTTTCAGAATGCCGCACATCAAGAGATCATTAATTACCTGCAAGCAAAGGTTTAGTGTAGAGGATATAAGAGAACTGTTGGACCATTTTGGCTGCCTTTTGGGGTCAGTTTTGTCCTTGATGTTGCTCTTAAGTATGTACCAGTCTGTAATCGAAATTCTTTTTCAATCTAGAATTTACTGTTACTTGGAGCCACAGCCATAGAAGATCGCCTTCAGGCAGGCGTTCCAGAAACCATAGCAACTCTACTGAAGGCAGAAATTAAAATCTGGGTGTTGACAGGAGATAAACAAGAAACTGCAATTAATATAGGTAATTAATTTTAAAATTTCCTGATGTTGGTTTTGTATTGTTTTTAAAGTGTCTGGTAGAAGTGCCTGAGGCTTCCTCAAATCCATTGACAGATGATGTTTTAAGGCCAAGAAAAGTTTACCTAAATCAAATGAGGATGCTTTTGTGAGAGTTATCTGCCTGGGATGAACATTAAAACTCTATCTCCCTGAATTGTATTAAACACACTTATATAAGATACAGAATTCAAGACACGACAACTTTTTCTTACTGTTTTCCTCACAAATTTGTAGTCTGAGACTAAGATCATCTTTTCACTAAGTTTAATATGCATTATAGCATATAATGCTAACTAAGTTTAATATAGCATTATAGCCACTTAAATGATTTTACCAACTACTGGATCTTCTAAGAGTCTGTCTCTTCCTTTCCCTTCCCTGTCTGGGTTGGTAAACTCTTTGCTTGCTAAACATCGTGGAAATGAAAATTGGGGAAAAAGAGGCACATTTTGAGTTTGAAAGGAGTTGAAATGACTAATTTTAGAAGATCTGATTTTGGTTATTGAAGTTGCTTTCAAGTTACCTGGTGCTTCTAGCCCCATTACAGCATAAGAAGCCCCAGTGCATATGTGACCAAATGAGTGTGTAAGGACGGCATGACTTATAACGTATTTAAAGAAGTAGACAGTGTCACAACTCCCTGCAGAAAGAACACACTGGAACCTCCAAATTTAAGTGACTCCTGCCCTATTGGGAGCCGTCTCCTTGGAATATTATCAGTTGAATCCAGAAGTACCCCTTTCCTTAAGCCTTCTCTTTTGAAGCGGCCCGGTCTCTCAGATAACCTCTGTAGTAGACTGATACCTCCTCTGCAGTGAATGTTGTTTTTGGTTTAATAGGTAAGAGTCATTTAATCATGTTTTAGCAAGGTTGTAGCTAGTCACTTGCAGTCTGGGCTCCCACATGAGTGTAATCAGTCATAGGTGAATGACATGTGACTCATCAATAGTCTTGGAAGCTCAGGTACAGACTTTGTCTATGGATTTGTGTTGTCTTTCAAATGCATGTTTCTGGACAAAAGTGAACAGTGTTTCTGTGTGGATCCCTCACTACTGCTGGGAAATAAAAACCCAGAGTGTACAAATAAAATAAAATAAAATATTTTACAAACAAAAACCCTTTAGTGATGTCAGCAATATTTTGTAAAATGAGGGTAAACCCCTGCTTTTGGTACACTGTCCCTCGAGGTCTCTTTCTATGTATGTTGTTCCTTCGGGTATGATTTCTCATGTAAATTTGGGCTAAAACACCTGCTACTGATAATGTGACTCCTGTGATTCATATAGAGCATGGAAAGTTGACTGTTGTCCTGAAATGCTGACAGGTTATGGAATGCTTTCTGCTCACTTAGAGCAATATCAAAGACGTGAGTAACCCCTTGAGTTAAGATTGCACGATAATGATAAGATCTGGAAAACAGAGCTTGAGGGTTCCTGCTGGACTATTGACCTTTTTATGCTCCTAGCCCCGGACAACTTCCTTAAGTGCTTTCTGGTGTTTGCTGTACGAAGCGAGTGTGACTTTGCTGGCATTGTGCTAGCTGGAAAAGGGCTGCTGTCCTTCTCAAGGCCTCTCTACCAGATCACCCTGCCCTTGGGCCGCACACGCATCCCTCTTCCTGCTTGTTCCTTTGTCACACCTGAGCATGTCAGGGTCTGGAGGGTTTTGGAATAAACACAAATGAGGGCTTGAAAATCAACCCAGAAAACACAAATGGGTTATAATTCATAAAGGAAAGCTTGACTTGAATGTCGTGAGGCTTCTCTGAGCCTTACAGTATAATTGATGCTGCCCGAAGAGTTTGTAAAAATGATGGTTATATTATTTTGTGCTTTTTTTTTCAAAGAGAGTATAGGAACATGTGTAATTTTGGTACCAGAAGCATTTGTTGCCATTAGATATTTTTAAAATTGATCTTTCTTAGCAACTACTCTGCAAGACCATAGTGAGATATTGCTTCCTGCTTATATATAAGCTGATGACTTTGCTGATGTCTAGTCTTCTGAAGGCTTTTTTCTACTCCTGTTTCTTTTCCTAGTGTATCAGAATTCAAACATATCTTTGGTGTTATTAAGTATGCAGCAAGCAGCCAGGGAACTGATATTCTTTGAAAGAGCTCTGTCTGAATTACTTTTTCATTTGCGTTCAGAATTTATTGGTAATCCTGAGCAGTGTCGTGGGCTTAAATGCCATTTTCCCATTTAGGCCATCTCTCGAGCCTGTAAATGATGCAGAAGGCTCAGCAAAGGGTCGATATCAGGACACTGTATCAGACTTGTCCATGCCAGACCACAGGTGACAGCTATAAGCAGCACGAGGTCGTGCCCCAATTCAGTGTGGATTGTACGCCTGTTTACTTGTCCCGGGTTCCACATCCCCCCAGTAATCTGAGCCATTACTGATCCATCTTCCATAATGCGGCATAGTCTGTCCATGGTAGTGCATTCTCTGTGCATTTTTTGGGCACCCAGAAGATATGTGGGAAGAAGATCAGGTGTCTAGCAGTTCTATGTCTCTGTGGAGGAAGGACAAGAGAGCAAATGAATGGAATGTCTGCTGAGTGCAGCGGCCTGCTGGGAGTGCCTTCTGAATTTTGTCTTCAATCTCTACATATGAATGGTCTTATCGCTGAAGGGGGAAATTCAGTGTTTATGAAGGTTAGGTTCTTTTTAGTGACCAAGCTGGCTTGAGGTCCTAGGGCTCTTCACTTCTGGTGCAGGGCTCTCTTTAAACAGATTCACATAGTTTTCATAAAACTGTTGTCTGAAATTTGAAGAGTAGGGGACAGTGGTCCTGTGTTCCAGCCATTCTAGGATGCACATTGTTGTCCTGTGTCAATGTCCCTGAAATTGGGATGTCTTATAACTATTGACTGTTACGACTGTTGACTCTTACCACTAATCATATGGTCTTAGTGGTACTTACGGTAAGAGTTCACCTTTGGAGCCGACCGTTGGGGTTGTTGGCTCTCCTCGGCAGTGGGTTTACTTATCATAGAGGTGCTTGTAAGGGATACTTGGGTGGCTCAGTCAGTTAAGTGTCTGCCTTTGGCTCAGGTCACGATTTCAGGGTCTTGGGATTGAGTCCCTCATGGGGCTCCCTGCTCAGCAGAGAGCCTGCTTTTCCCTCTGCCTGCTGCTTCCATTGATTGTGTTGTCTCTCTCGTGCTCTGTCTCTCTCCTCTCCCTATGACAAATAAATAAATAAAATCTTTAAAAAGGAAGCATTTGTAAAATGTAACTTCTAGTTCATACCTTGCAAACATTTAGTCAAATTAAGTTCCAGGGTATTTGTGTCTCTTAGGAGCCAATGAGTACCATATAGACCGTCTTCTTGCCTGTGGGTTTTAGGTGGTTGGGGACTGGCATGATGCCAGAATCCTAGTGTGCTGGGCTTGAATTTATGCTAACTAGCTGTGTTTCAAGGATTTGGCAATTTTCTTTCTTAACTTAAAGATTTGGCATCCGTTAGTCTAAAATGAAATTTCAGATGTAGTCTTTGTGAGTCATGTCATTTCCTTATTACCACTGGGTAAGACATCTATTAAATAGGTAGACAGCAGATATGAAATCTATAGAATCTATAATTTTTTTTTCTAATGAATGTAGGATGAGTGAGAACAAAAGCCATTTTAAAGTCATTAAGTGGGAAAGAGCTTTCCTTGAACCATTTCTAAGTTGTTGTGACTCATCATTTAATACTTATAAACCACTTCTTACAGTTATAGAAGTTTAATTTTTAAAAGTGAGTAAATATGGTGCCTGCTCCTATTAGTGCCTATAGTTTGTCTTGCGTGTTGAAAGGAAGACCAGATTCTATTTTCATTGAAGCTGGGACATTGTTTGGTGGTTGTCTCAACTTGAGTGTTGTTTTAAACAAAAAAAGTCAGACACATTATTTCTTGATTACCTGCAGCTGGCTACTCGAGGCTCAGGGAACTCACATTCCTTCCCTGATAGGGGTGTGAGTTAATTCTGAGACAAAGCAGAAGGTGACATAGATGAAAAAGTATTAATTGTGCAGGATAGATAGTAAGTATGACTGGTGTTCATAATAGATACTGAATTAATGTTAGCTAGAATTGAGTCCTCTCTGTCAGTTTTTTTAATATCTGATTCCTTGGAGATAGCCACCCTCCTTTTTTTAAAGATAGAACTGAGGCACAGAAATACCACGCAACTCAGTGTAGGTCACAGAGACTGTGAAGGTCCCAAAAATCTGGGCATGTACCTGTGACAGTTGATATTCATTTCCTTGAAGGAAAAATATCTGAGTCAAAAAAGACCAGGGAAGCTTCTTGGATGACATAGGTTTAGAAGTGGGGCCTTTGAGAATTTGTTTAAAAAAAAAAGAGAAAGGCATAAGGAGGGCACGTGATGTGATAATGAATTACTGATAAATTACTGAACTCTATCTCTGAAACTGATGATGTACTCTATGTTGGCTAATAGAATTTTAAAAAAAGTCTGAGCAGCCCAGTTTGGTGGGGGGGATGGGTTTGTGAGGCAAGGCTGAGGCCATGTGCTCTTACATGTGACAGAGCCTTCCTGATAAGGATCTGGAGGGAAAGGTGCACAGGTGTGTGGTTCTGTGGACATGTCCTTAGCTTCCTGGTTCTCTGGATGATGAAGGACTTTGTACTGAGCCTCTTTGACCCCATCTGGAATAGATTAAGAATACTGTCTTTCATTATCCATTCTTGATGTTTGGCAGTATGCTTCATATATTCATACACAAATATTGATCAGACTCTCTATCAAAATATTTAGGACCAAAACACTTACTGAGGGTTTGGAACCATGCCGAATCCTAGTGATGGGTAGCTTTATTCATCTGATCCTAAGATACATGGTTAGTAAGGATAAACTGTCCCTAACCCTTCCAGAGATGTCTCCCGAGAAATCTGGACTTGGGTACCTTTGACAATGTGAGCTTATCTCAAAAGAGAGGTAGAATGATGGCAAGGTCTGAGAGATTTGGTTTGGTAATAATTTCTAACATAGATAATTATTTTCTTAAAATCATGCTCTAAGTACCATAGAGTCTGTAATATTTTGATTTCTTTGAATGTTGATTATACTCAGGTAGTAGAAAGACTAAATGTTTTTGTAGTGTGCTGTTAATTTCAGGTGTAATAAAAAGTGAAATCCCAGAGGTTCTCTCCTCAGTGATTTTATGGTCGTTTTGTTAGATTGCAAGATTAAAGAACTAGACCTTAATTTACAAGCGTGGATTGACATTTCATACCTGGCTCTTCTCCAAGAGTTGATCTCATTTTATCCACAAACATTAGAAATCAAGCACACCAAACTGGAGGTGACATAATTTAATTTGCCACATTCGCTAAGTCACAATTAACTGTGTTAAACTTCCATGCTCTGTACAGTGCAGGTGTTCTGTGTGATAATTCTCTAAGCAGAATCTCACTTCATTTTCCAAATTAAAAAAACAAACAAACAACAAAACCGATTTCCAGAAACCTTTAGTTTTGTATATTGAAATTCATGGAAATGTTAGTGGTTTTATTTCTTGCCCTCTCCCTGCAACGGCTAAAAAAAATACTAAGAGTTTTTCCATAATATATTTGTGTAGCTTCAGTTGTCAAGAAGCATTTTGCTTAAACTGAAAAATATAAAATAAAGCAGCAAGCAAGGGCTTAAAAATTATAGCTAGCTTCTGCAGCTGTTATTCAAATCAAAAACTACCAGCAAATCCTTTTGCATTTGTTATACTAAATTTGTAACAGTCTATGTTGCATGAAGTTGCTGGAGGTCTCTGGGGATATAAAGAAAGAGCAAGCCTCCCATAGTGGGAAATAATTATAGTTGCAACATCCCCTCTTGTAAGTGAAAATAAAGTGTAGACCTCCCTTCTGGACCTAAGAATTTAAAGGAAAGAAGAATACACTTGTAAAATTTTAATGGGAAACAAAGACTTTAATTTTGTCAGTCTAATCAGGCAGAACTTTGAATGGCATTCTGGGAAAGTCCTAGTTTTACTGATCACTATTGTTAAAATATGAACTTGAACAAGTTTGAAAACATAGAAAATTGTTTCGTGTTTCCTCCTTTTTTTTTTTGTTTTTTTGTTTTTTGGTCTTAAAGGTTAAACAGGTATTTGCCCATGTGGTATTATGATTTTAAATTATTCAGTTTATTCTAGTTTCTAAAATAATACATAGTTGTTTTAGCAAGCAAAAAATCTCATTCCCGTGAGGTAACTATTGTTAATGGACTGGACTGTATTTTTATGGTATTGCTTTTAAAAATATTTGGATTAAAAGCCATAAGTTTGTGCTTCAAGACTTGTGTTCTGAAGTGATCTACAAAATGTTCTGAAATGACAATTGTTAGTGAAGGATGTAATTTGTACATTCCAAAATAAACAAATATTTATTGTCTCCTTCCTAAACAACAACAAGAAAACAAGATTTTTCTTAGTTTTAACTTTTGTGTGTTTTGAAGTCTATTTGGTGCCTTTTAACAGGGTTTCCTTAGCATGGGGTTGGAGGAGGACGGGTAGGGTGGGGGTTGGGAAGCCCTGCTGAGTAGAATTGTCACATAAATGCAGTAGTTCTGAGATTTGCCCATTAGTTAAATGTCTGTCTCCTTGTCCACTTAAATATAGCATATCTAACGGATATTTTAGCTCTTCTGTGGAGGAAAATCCAGCCTCCTACTTGCTTTAGGAACAGCATTGGTTAAGCCCCTTCCTTGAGACTTACCCAGGTACTTGCTTAAAGGTTTTAATTCCCCAGCTGATGATTTGTTTCATGTTTCTGTGATCATTAATCCTTTATCTTCAGATGCTGAGGAAAAAGAAACAATTTTATAGGTGGAAGGATTCTTTTCTTACCTTTTCTCAATAAGATAAATTGAGATTGGAGATTGGTGAAAAGTGCCAGCTCTCTCGGGGCACTGAGATGGTGGAGGGTAGCTTGAAAGGAGCCTTTCCTTTCCTTGAAAGGAAAGAGTAGAGTCATGACGGACCTTCAGGGTCTTAGGATTTGCTGGAGCTGATCTTCCTCAGAGTGTGTGGATTTGAGGGGAGCAGAGGGTGGGCTCTCCTCCTGGTCTGTGGTGTCTCTGAGTGTCTCCAGATGTTTTGGTGTGGACTCCAAAGCCTGAGTAGGAAAGTGGTTCAGAGAAAACATGTTCACCTTCTGGGAAGAAGGGTAGAGGAGTATCTTGCTTAGCCTGTAGCGATAACTATTTTAAAATGAGATGGAAATTATTGATAAGAGTTGGTTTTGGAAGACATCCTTTTGTTCTAAACAAACTTTTTTTTTTTTAAACTCAGGTTTAATTCTTGAAATGGGGATTGCTTTGAACTTGGATAGGAAAAGTGATTCCCTCGACATATGACAGTACTCCTTTAAAATCTGTCGTGAGAATTACCCACTTTTTAAACAAAGAAATGAGGGATTTTGCTAGTAGAGTAGGCTCATTTACGCCAATTTGGAAACACCGTCAGATTTCATGTGTTGTCCTAAAGTGTTAGCTATTTTTTAAAGCTAATCCAAGGCTTTTCCTGATGTTCTACAAGCATGAAGAAAAACCCATGGAAAATTGACCAGTATTTAGCCATTAGGTTTGAAGACCTTCCCAACCAGTCTACTCGGGCTGTCTGTAAGAATCAAAATCTGCTTAAATTAAAACCTACTTTTCCTGCCCCCGCACGCTTGTCCAATTCCTCTGTCTTTCCCAGTAGGCTTAAAAAGGTAATACGGAAGGCATAAGAAGGGAGACTGAATTTAAATAGATACTGAAAAGCAATGAGTTCATGGAAGGGATGGTAAACTCACTTGTGTTGCACTTTCCTCCGCTCTAGGATATTCCTGCCGGTTGGTATCACAGAATATGGCCCTTATCCTGTTGAAGGAAGATTCTTTGGATGTAAGTAGTTTTTCAAAAGTTGTATTTGTTATTATGGTATTAAACTTTTTATTTATTTTTACTCTAACCGATAATGAGGGCTTTTTTTTTTTTTAACTAAAAAACAATTCTAAAACTGTCCTGTGTATTTTCTTATTTATGAACAGACGTCATAAATTCCTATCTTTAAACACTAAAGTAGTAAATTTGGAGCAGTGCTTCATACTTTCCTTTGTTTATCTAGAATTGTGCATTTAAAATGTTAATGGGACCATTTTGATTTGCTAAGTGGTGATGGTTCACTCCAGAGTAGATTAATAAGGAGACTAGGAGGATTTTTCTTTCTAGCACAAACTTTAACATAAAGATAATATTCAAGTGTCAGGAGTTGTTTGAATTTATACGGGAATAGGCTCATGGAGGATTGAACAGCATGGCTCTCTGATCATTTTATAGACCTGTGCCCATGCATTCAGTGGCCTAAAGCCTCTGAGGAGACCAGGGTTGGGAACTGATGTGAGGTTAACCAGTGACCTGGGAAGTAGTTTAATGGGAAGCTGTCAGCTGAGCAATGAGATTCCATTCGTCAGGACTTATAACAAGGACTTGTTACTGCTCAGAACCAAAGGCTACCCTTCACGCAGTATATTTAAAGCTCCTTGTAGGAGCAGATGCCAGCGTTAGTAAAAGGGATGAGATATGGTACAGAGACATTTGTACTTGCAGATCAGGAAGGCCCTGAGTCCTCTTGAGAAGGCCTGCACATACTCCACCTCTTCAGGACTCCCAAGGCAGGAGTCAGGGGTGAGTCTGTATGCCTCCAAGCAAGATGCTGCTCCAGGGCTTGGGAATATCCTCCTTGGATGCACTCACAGCCCGTGAGCATACCCAGAATGTCTGTGCCAGAGGCTCCTTGGTTTGCTGATGATCTTTTAGACCCAAGGCATCCACAGCCTTAAACTAAGCCTCTTACAGGGTGATACCTCAGAAGTGAGGCTATATTTTCCCTTTATGCCAGGTGTTCTCTAGAATTGGGAGATGGGCTTTGACTCTGCACAGCACTCTAAAGCCATAAGTACAAGCTGGGACTTTTGGTTGACCTAGACCATGGCATGATTTGTGAAGCCAAATGAGTTTCACAGAGTGTGCCTGGCTTCCCTTGGCAACATTTTAAGAATTCTTCTTCTTAACCAGTGTTGAACATCCTCTTTTAGTGCAATAACTTTCATGTACTCAGTATCTGCTGAACGGAGGTGCAATTTCTATGGATTTTTTTGATCCATACTCCAAGGGACGTTCCATATTTCTGACTAGAGTCCTTTCTCCTCTTTCCCCTCCCCCACCCCTTTCACCTTCTTCCCCCTCATTCTTTAGTTGGGTTGAAGGCATTCCTATTCTCAAAATATTTCATTTGGTAGGTGTGGAATAAAAGCAGAGTCCTAGGGAAATAACTCAGGAATATAGTAGATCCCTGTGGAGCTCCCCAGTTGAGCTTTTCAGGTTGCAGAGCTCTGAGGTTGAAGCAGACAAGAAAGGAACAAAGGACGTGGCCCCAGAATTAAAAACATTGGGTCTAGCTTCCCTTACTTCATGCCACATGTAGTGGACTCTCATCCCATTCACTTCACTTCTTAAAAGGATCCTAGTCCTGAATTGCCTATTGTCCAATGTTTCATATTTTTGTTTCCAATTTTCTAGTTGTTTACAAGTCTGGTGTCTGTTACTTTATGATGTCTAGAAGCAGAATTTGATTGATGTACTTCTGCCTCTGTAAGGTCATCTTTGAGAAATACTAATTTCAAGTTTATGGGTCTGCACCACTTGGATTTGTCTTTCCTGCTCCTAGAGCTTGGCCAGTTGTCCCTGATTTTGAGAACTCTAGGGAAACAACTGGTTCAGGAGAAAAAGAAAAGAGTAGAGCGTTGATATGACCTCTCGGTTCCAGGGAAGAAGCAAGAGGATTGCTGGAAAATCAAAGAAAGAATATCATAGATGATAATTTAAATAATGTTTTGGTACTGCTTGTCATGGACAACTAGCAGTCCCCCCCCCCCCCACTGGTGATAAGATCATCATCACTGCCTTGAAACCCAAGCAAGTGAAATAATTAATCCCAGATTCCCATCTTTGGACTGTTTCTTAGAACTGCTTCTGATACCTAATACAGGAATAGTCAGGATTCAGTGCAGGAAATTGTGACAACCAGGTCTATCAGAAGATAAATACCCCACATATCAGTTGAACAGAGTGATTTTAATAAAATTGTGAATTAAGTGTGGAGTTGTTAGATAACAAAAAGTATAAAAAGAGAATTCTAGGACAAGTAACAACCCTTAGGAAAAGTCAGAGTCGGCACTTTTTGCAAATGAAGTTTTCTTGAGCACCCTCATCCCCCTTCATTTCCATGTTGCCCACGGCTGCTTTCATACTGCAGTGGTAGAGTCAATGAGTTAGAGACCACGTTAGAGACTTTTGGCACCTAAATCCTAGAGTATTTACTATCTTGTCCTTTCTGGAATTGTTCGCCTGTCCTAAGGTACCTTGTGGAAACTGAAGGAAGCAGCGACCCCTCCTCGGCCTGAGGGAACACAGGGGAAAAGATTGGAATTATTAATACTTTCAAACTTCAGAGAGGGGGCTCTCAGAGCTGATCCTCGGATGTCTGAAGAGGGGGAGATGCCTGGCTGGTCTAGTGTCTCTGCCTTTGGGGTAGAAGACAATGAAGATAGTTTTCCAAGTGTTGGCGAAATCTGAAACCTGGCTTCATCTTCTGCTGTTGGAAGGAGCTGTGCTTGCCAGAGTGGAGAAGCAACTCTCAAGGGAATTGCAAGCAGACAGGAAACCCACAGGAGACAGGCAGGAAGGAGCAAGCTCTGGCCAGATTGGCAGTCTCTCTCCTCTCCTCTTGCACCACCTACTGGCCGAGTCTTGCATGGAGCCCTTTGGCAAATCCGAGTATGGTTTGTAGAGTTCCTGTTCCAGAATTCCACACTACATGTAGCAGGGTAGCCTTGAGGCTGAGAGTTGTTGACTAAGTTACTGGCACAGAAACTGAGTTCAAGTATAAAGAAAATTAAAACAATAAATTAGATGCTCGCAAAATTACTGGAAAAGCTGAAGGAGCAGACGTCTGCATGTCCTAGGTGGGTTTCCATTTCATGCATCCTGTGTTTATGTCAATGCTTATGCATATGTGTTTATGTTTATGCATCCATGTTTACAGTCACGGTCAGGACACTGTTGTTATATCCCAAGAGACTTGAGGAAGTCACTGTTCAGCTTCCAGCTTCCAGCTTCCTACACCTATGAAGCTGGGACGAGGTGGTAGAATTTGGAATACTTCCCCCAATGAAAAGGAATCGCTCTCTTCTTTCTGTCTTCCAAATCTTACACAAATGTGTCTCATTGAAAGAATCCACCCTGAATCCTGTTAATAAGGGAGTCTGGGAAATGCTGTTTTAGCTTTGCTGCCTTGCCATATATAGAGAAGAACGTAGAAGAGGTTGGAAATAGATAGAATCCATCAGCAAACGGTATCTAGTACTGCCGACTTCATAGGCAAGGAGTGGGAATCAGGAGTACACAGGATGTTATAGGATCTCACTGATGTGGTTGATTTTAACATACAATATATTCTTTACTTTGTAATGACATGTAGAATCGCCATAAACATTTTGTGTACCACTTAGAAGTCTGTTTCTGTTGTTTTCATGGCAAAGCACTGAACAGTTGTCAGCCTTAATGGTGATGAATGAGAACATAGTGGTTAAGGAACTAGTTTCTGGAATACCTGGCCACGTTCAGATACTGACTTGGGCTTAGAAAAGTCTTTGACTCACAGTGAATTCTCCTAGTAAGTCATTTACTGTTTTCTACTTTTCTTTTACAAAAGCCCAATTTCTAATTTGGTCTTTTCTCTACTGACAGGTGGCTCCCTAGTAAGTTGCTTAAAGGACTTTTACAATATGGAGGCTCATACCCATATTCATACCCACAACTGTACTGTCATTTGTTGCTTCCAGATGAAGGGGGGATTGCATTCTTTTTAACTGGCTGAGTAATATTTTGGGGGTGTGTGTGTGTGTGTATGTACCACATTTTCTTCATCCATTTATCTGTTGATGGACAGACACCTGGCTGCTGCCATATCTTGGCCCTTGTTAATAATAGTACAGTAAACGTAGGGACGCATGTATCCCTGAGTTAGTGTTTTTGTTTTCTTTGGGTAAATACCTAGTTGTGGAATTACTGGATCATGTGGTGTTTCGGTTTTACTTTTTTGAGGAACCTCCATGCTGTTTTCTACAGTGATTGTACCAATAGCTGACCCTTAGTGTGAGTTTTTGCTTTTAAACTTCCTACCAATTCATAGAGGTAGTGAAACTCTTTTAAGGCTGGTGTTAAGATAGTAAAAAAACAAAAAACAAAAAAACAAAATCCTCTCCCCCTTTTTTCCCTGCCATCCTGATAATACTTACCTACTCATAAGATCACCTTATAACTACATTTGTTCTTTGACATCTTTTTATGGTATGCTAGAAATGTTGCTTGAGCAAGATTTTTCCATGTTCAATTTAGGCATGTTCAATTAATTATTATTTTAATCCTTTGAAGGCACTTAACATTTAAAGGGCAGAAAGACTGCTAAGTGTTATCAGGGATTATAAAGCAGGATGATGGGGACATGAAAAGCAGAAAGAACAGAGGTTACTGTGTTGTATAGTTTGGTTGGAGAAATTCTCTCTGATAGGATGGTATTTGGGAGCAGAGGGTGGGAGCCAGGGTGCTGTCTGGACAGGGGACTGCACATCTTCCTTTGCCTGGGATCGTCTTAGTGTACACCTGTTGTGCCAGCGTCTCATCATCATTCTGTATCTGGGAGACTAGTGTCCCAGGAATGTGGTTCACCAAGTGCCAAGTCCCAAGGCTGATGCCTTCTTACTCTGCTGAGCCTCCAGCGGCAGCAGTGGAGTGGCTGAGGGAGTCAGAGAAATAGCAAGAACTTCACCTTGTAGTTGTGT